ATCTGCTTGGTCTGCTTCAAAGTGAAGGCGGCATTAGCTCTGGCTTCATATTAAATATACTAATTACTTTGGGCTTCATAAACATAACACTGAACAGTTTTGTCTTAATTGTTAAGGTTTCACTTAAACCTTCAATATGAAGATTGGGTGCAATTAGCAAAGAAATCATTAGCATATAGCTAAATTAGCATATATCTTAATTAGGTAAATCTTAATATGTATCGACTAGTAAGGTATAATTACCGTGGTTTTACTTGTGCTTTTACTTGGTTAACATCGCGTTAGTTAACATGGTTTAGTTAGTGTGGCCGCTAGCATGCTTTAATTAGCACGGTTCTAGCTTCACACGGCTTCATTGTCATGGTTGTTAAGATGTGGCGTAATTACATTGGTCTTACCACAGCTTGACCTAATTACCTTGGTCGTAGCAAGTCCTGACCTAACTAGCCAAGTATACCGTTCATACAAATAGCTAATTAGCCAGCCACGCGTGCTCAGGTGCTAGCGGACAATGAAGACGACACAAAAGGCGTGAACCCGCCTAGTAGTGCACTAGAACGGACAGGCTGACCATGATGATTAGCACGTGGCCTCAGGTTTAGCTGTGGTCGCGATGTTCTGAAATGTTCGGCCTGTCCGAATCTCAGAGGCCACCATGCTAATAATTCTGAAGGAGATTTAGTGCAGGCATTAAAAACTTCAAAATGAATTTACACAGCTCGTGCATTAAAAAAAGAAACATCACCAAGAAAAGCTTCTGACATATTTAGTGTATGGATGCGCACCTGCACTTAGTGGAACGGCCAACAAATTAAAGAAGATTCCTCTGGTTTCAAAACACCGCCCGAATTTGTCGACCACCCTGGTCGCGATGCCGGGTTGCATTGTAACCAAGGAAAAGCAGCGCACTGAGAGGTGGATTTGACTTTTTCGCACAGTTGGCTCATTCAAATAGTGGTGTCAGCAGAGTGCGGATAGATCCCGAGTTCTCTCCAAGCTCGGGCGATCCTGCATAGCGCCCCTGGACCGTTGACGTTGCGAAAGAAAAATAAAATAAAAGTAGTTCATGCCAGGATACAACAAATGTGGAACGCATGGGCCATATAAAAAATGCTGTCCGATTGTAAAGACAGTACAATACTAAGCCAGTTCACAGCGGAGAGGGAGCAGGTTTCCCATTGAGCGATATTGCGCCAACCAGGGGCCTGTGTTGACACCTTTGCTAGTGCAAGAGTAGAAGGCACAGCCGTAAGCCCGCTGTGTGCGCTTGATAGCGGCCGGCTCGTGTGTTGCGCGATAGAGGGGCACAATATGTCATACTTAGCACAGTGCTCCGCAAAAGAACGAAAACACGGAGAAAGGAACACGAAGCATGGCGCAAACCATCAACTCAGATTTTATTTAAACAACAAACATGTATATGTGTGGTTGGATTAACAGGGGCTGACACGTGTTAAAAAAACATGAGCAGACAAAGATGGTCGCACTGACACGCTTCAAGAAAGTAACTCAGCGGCAAACGTGAACGATGGTTTCATGGCACATGGATCACCTGCTCCGTGTTTTCGTTTTTTTCAAGATGGATCCTCAAGTTGTCGTGCTACTCATATTTTATTAGCCATAGTTCCGCACCAAGGGAGAGAAAGATATGAAAATGAAGGCCAGGAGGTTAACCAGATATGTGCATCCGGTTTGCTATCCAGCAATGGGGGTGGGGAATAGAGCAAGAAGGGGGATGTAGGAAGAGAGAGAAAAAAGAAGAAAAGGAAACTCATGACCATGAAGGAGAAAATGAAAACACATGCATGCAGTCTTCGCAGATTGCTGTAGCTACAATAGTTTAGAGAAGCCGTTCGATTGCAAAAAGCGCAATAGCACTTGTAAGGCTTTTTGCTGTGATGTTGCATCCTGACGATAATGTAAAATTCTTTCTTCCGACAGAAGTTTATTGTCTAATTTATTGAGCGCGTCGCAAAAGTGTAGTCACTGTGCCTATATTGCGGGTAATCACAAAAGGCATGTCCAAATAGTGTCTTCGTTGCCACAGTGGTCACAGGCGGCGGTACCAGCCATCCCAATGCCAAAAGCGTAGGCGTTGGTGAACGCAACACCCAACCACAGCCGACACAAAAGGTTCGCGTCTGCTCAGCGAAGCTTCGAACGGAGTTGAAGACAGCGTAGGGTCAAACGAGTGCACTCGGGCATGCTTGAAGTGCGGTTGATTTCATTGCGACATGGTGCGCTGACGAGCAAATTAGCGGAGCTTGCGTGCAGCATCGGTCCTAGACAGCCATAGTACCTCATGCTTTTCAGCGTGGGCTGAGCGGGCAACTTGATCGGCACGTTCATTGCCGATGATCCCGCATTGGTAATGAATTACTCCGCATTCCGGAGGTAAGGAAATGTAATTTGTTGCTCTCTTTGTTAGGTGGTGTGTAAGTTGTGCTATCTCTAGTATCAGCTGATCATGTGCACTACGGTGTAAGGCTGATAGTAGAGACTGCAGTGCCGCCTTCGATTGGAAGAAATAGTCCACTCGCGTGTAGGGTGACCAATGACAAATTGTAACGCGGTACGAAGGGCTGCCAAATCTGCTGCCGTTGATGTTGTTGCATAGGATGTCTTGAATTTAATCGTCATGACGAACCTTGGTGCCACGACTGCTCCGGTTGAGCTGTTCGGCCGAGCCGATCCATCACTATATATATATATATATATATATATATATATATATATATATATATATATATATATATATATATATATATATATATATATATATATATATATATATATATGCATGGAGTCTTGGTATTTTTCATAAATGAAAAGTAGTGTGAGCTGCCTAAGATCCGTTGACAACAAAGCGGCTTTTTTTCTGGACGACAGGTTTGATAATATTATTAATTGGTTGAGTAAGGCACCATGGAGGAGTCACAGGTCTAGCGGCAGGAGAGAATGAAGTTGGGGTCGACTCACCATGTGCGGTCACTGTTTTGCAGTAAGATGTGCGTGGTCGGTCCGCTCGTAGAGAGGCTATAGGATTTGGCGAGGAGTTCGAGCAAAACGTCGTATATGTGTCCTCAGCATTTCACCACCAATGTGCGTCTTGATGAGGTGGTTCCTTGCGATGGCGATAGTTCCCACTGTTGATGCACTTTGAGACAGGCTTAGACAAATCCAGTGTGCTTGAGCCTGAACCCTTTGAGTCATCCGTAGACTTCTTTTGCTTGCGTTGGTTAGCGCAGGCAAACTGTACTGAAGCTATCCAAGAAAAAGAACCCTGTATAATCGAAACATAGCGGCGATGGACATCCCCCATATCTTTTCAGCAAGAAACTTGAACAGATAATAGATGCCTGTCAATTGCTTTTTCATGTAGAATACATGAGGGCTCCATGAGACGTCTCCATCAATTATTACACCGGTGACTTTGTACGATCGGAGGTAAGGTAATGTTTCGCCGTTTATCGGCCCGCTGTAGCTCTCTGTTGGTTTGCGCGTAAATGCTACAAGCGCACGCTCCTCGGAGGCAATTTCCAGACCTCGTTTACGCAGGTAATAAGCAGCTTGAGTGGCAGCTCTCTGAATTCGTGCTCGCAGCTGTACACGTGTTACTGCAGACGTCCAAACGCAGATGTCATCTGCGTACAATGACAATCTGACAGTGCATGTCTAGCAGGTGGGTTCATGCAGTGATCGCGTGATGTCGGACCGTTACGCGATGGCGTGAAGCTGTTTTAATCTCTCAGCTGACCAAAGGTATACTGCAGCCACACCGGAAGATAAAAAAGTACCATGCGCACACAGGAGTGCATGGTACTTTAATAATAATGCACACATGTGTGCATTATTTTAGCACGGGGGAAATGTGGCATGGAAAATACTCGACTATGTGAGTGTGTGCATATATTGTCTTTAATATCGTCCGTCATTTTTCGCACAACACATGTATGCTGGACAGCCACAACAGTATATGCAAGCCGAAATGAAACCATTCTGCACATGCTTCGGACAATTCAAAATTTTCGAACTTTCCATAAACTCTTGCTTCTTCGAGCACAGATTCCCTACGAGATCGTATTTATTTGTAAAAAAACAAACAAAAAACAGACGAGCAACTTAGTAACAATAATCTGCAAGTAATACTTGATTGTGAGGTCCTCACTCACCTTTCGAAGCCGAATAGAGTGAAAACAAACAAATGTTGATACAATAAGAGCTACATTTATTCAAAAGTACTTGCTAACCACAAGCTGTCCAACTATTTTACGAGCAACGCAAATTGACTTCAAAGGGCAAATCTTAACCTGCGCAAGCTCTAATTAATTTTTTTCAACAGGGCTTGTTAGCCGTACATTTCCTTTTGCCTTGCATGTGTGCGTCCGCCTGCGATTTGTCATACAAACAAAATTGACGGCCTTCTGTTGAACAATAAGTATCAAAGAAAGTTGCGTTGAGACCTACTCGTCATCCGCGCCAAGCTCTGAACAAGATTTCGTGTGAGACAGAGCTAGAAAAAAAAAACTGCAAATGGTTTGTGTACATTCCAGGCTTCGTGTAATCCTCGCCATTTCCTTCTCATCAGCACATTCACCCTCTATATTTCAACACCCTCTCTTTTTCTAAGGCTCAGTAGCAGATAAAAAATTGATTCAGGCCGGCTACTAAGCTGTTAAGCTATAATAAAGCTATCTCTCACATTTCACCCACTCACTACAAGCCACGTTGTCGGTAAAAGCTAAAAAATCTATAAAACTCGCTGTGCGAAGATTCCAGTTAGAAAAATAATTAAAAAGATGCCTTCGCACAAACTCAAGTAGCCGAAGTAGTCTACGTATTAGTTCTGTCTTTTGCACTGGCTGCAATCTTCAACATGTACCGATTTGCGTCATGAGCAATTCGCACATTGCAGCAGCATATATGGTATGGCCAGCTATCGCATGCGAATGCTATTTTATAGCTATGGTAAAGCGCTGGGTAGCATTGTCGTATGCGATCTACGTCGCGGAAGAGGAAGAACACGTTGAACGCTTTAGCCACCACTGTACAAGATCAACGTGCCGCGACTTCACCGGCGGAGCATACAGAGCACTGCACAAAGCACACAACACTGGTGGCACGCTCACTAAAATACCTCGCCGCTTAGCCATGAAATCGGCGTAATACTGTGGCGACCTGCTAATGCGTCTGAGAACGCTGACAGCCTCGCCAGCGTCGGCGTAAGTTGTGGTGTCGACAAATGAATGAGGCGGCAACAAGTGCGTAAATTTTCCTACTCCAAAAAGCACTGGTATAATGTCGTACTTAAACGAAGCGTAGATAATTTCTGCCGGGTGCTCAAAACAAGGGGACGATTCCATAATGATGACAAAGATGTGAGTTCCTTCCATCATAGACAGACATCCTGCTGCAGAGCCGCAAATCTCGGCCCCGCAATTGTTAACAATGTCGACGTCAAAATTATACACAACCGCATTTATGAAACGTTCAGTGCCACTCCAGCGATTGTCTGCGAGTGAAGAGCCGCCACTACGTTCCAGCTTTTCTTGCTCACATTTGCTGATCATCCACAAGGCAGTCACAGTTTTGTCACCGAAGGCCACCTCTAAGCTTGATACAGAATTATTTGCACTCGTACGTTCCCATAACCGGTGAGGTGCCACGATGTCTGCGTCTTCTCTGAGCCCCATGGTCCAGTTGAACAGCTCCGTTGACTGCAAGAGGAACCACGAAATCTGTGACCGGGGCGGACTTGTCAAAAACACCCAAGCCAAGCCATGGTAGTGGCCCGAGGGCAAGTCGGCCGAGTCAATGCTATCAGCGTCGAATACGACGGCGTCGCTTTTGTGGATTGCATTGCGGCTTTCTGTGACGTAACAGATGTTGGTACCATTGGGCGAACAAGGCAACGTCAGGAACTCTTTGCTGCTCGGAGGTGTCATATTGCCCCACGTGCGTTCGAAGGACGTCCACAGTAGTATTTGCGGCGTCTCTAAAGGCTGCGGAAGATTTACCGTCGGCAGTTCCCGGTATTGCACTCTGACTGGAGCAATTGTTAAGAGTAAAGCAGAAAAGTACAGTACAAAAGAAAAACAGCAGGATATCACTCCCAAGATAATGATGTGCATGAAAGCCTCATTTAGCAGCGCCCATTGATGCACACGACCGCTAACTTCCCGTGTGACTTCCGCTATGAAGTTTCGTGCGCCTTGTAAGCGTGTGTATAGTGTGTCCATAGTTCAGCGCAACCTGAAAGGAACAGAAAGGTAAAGAGCCAATAAATGCCAAATACCTATGAAAAAGTTGCGGCAGCTGTCACATTTGACAGATTAAAATCACCCGAAGGGGGCCCAAACTGGAGAAGGAGGGAAACGGGAGGTAACGCAAGCAAGACTACGATTCCGATATAGAAGAGATGGACACACAGTTACTTCGCTACTTCTCCGGCAAATTATTTCAGCAAGCTCTGCTGTAAAGACAACAACCCCATGCCATCCACGCCCAGCGCAGTATCATTAGCATATAACAGACACAACCATCGATACGAAGATGCTAGGGCGAGTAAAGCATACGGTACCTGCACGAGGAGCCGCCGAACGAGTCGTTGCACCTTCGGAATGGTGCTTGTGGCTTGAAGCGAACCACTCTTTTGAATTATCGGGTTTCACCTGAACGTCACCCAGAGCACGCAGACGCAGTAACGAATAATGCTCTTCACGCTGACTAAATCTAACATGAGGTGTATGCCCAACTTGAGAATTCAGCGCACTTCAATAATGACGCCGCACACACGTAGTGTTCTTGATCGGGGTGAAAAAATGAATTGTAGTTTTGAATCTCTTTCAATAGCCCATAAACGCGCTACATGTTTTGAAACCTGATAACACAGTTAGCTCGTTTATAGTACGCACATTACGTGAAGAAGTGCTGAATCGATGGTATATATGACAGTGATGAAACGTATCTGTACTAGGGTTTGCTTCGTCTCGGAAATGCTTCAAAGCTGGTGGTTGCTATGCATGAATTGATTGATTGATATGTGGGGTTTAACGTCCCGAAACCATCATATGATTATGAAAGACGCCATAGTGGAGGGCTCCGGAAATTTTGACCACCGGGGGTTCTTTAACGTGCACCCAAATCTCAGCAGACGGGCCTACAACATTTCCGCCTCCATCGGAAATGCAGCCGCCGCAGCCGGGATTCGAAACCGCGCCCTGCGGGTCAGCAGCCGAGTACCTTAGCCACTAGACCACCGCGGCGGGGCTGCTATGCATGAAATACGGGATGGTAAACTGGCGCTTTCACATCTAACTCTAGTCAGTTTTTCTGTTACCTGCCAGAATGATCGAAATCATTGTATTTTCGCGTGGCGGGAATGTCTGCACGACCTTTATAAGGTTAAATATGTCGATTGTTTTAATTTCATGGTTAACCGCAAATCTGGGGAGCGAGTTTCATTTTTCGTGTAGTGTAGGGTTTCTTGGAAGGTATAACGATGGCTGCGTAGAAAGAACACAAGGACAAGAGAAACATGGGCAGGTTTCTTCCAGCACACGTCAGATAGTTGCACGATTCTAGAAAAATCTAAGGTTTTTCTGACCTTTGCGCATCTTGTGTTCTTCGCATGCTCTTTTGACTGAATTACTACTGCAAATATAGTTCAAGTTGCGAGACACATGTATAAGTTGATGCCGCTACTTCGACTATTACACTCTGCCTTTTAAGCCCTTGTTACGCAAAAAAATAAAAAAATCCACGCATCTCCACGAAGTGAATGATGACGAGTGGGCGGAGATAGGTCCTAAGGTACATAATGTCTACATGGAAGACGCTGACTAGTATAAAGGATGAACGGATGGACAGACAGACGCACGTACAGACGGATGGACAGATGGTCGACAGATGCATGGGCAGACAGACAAACGAATGGCGCAAGCGGTCATAGAGAGAGGGGGAGAGATAAAGATGGAAGGAAAGCCAGGAATGTTAACCAGACGCACGTCTGGTTTGCTATCCTGCACTTGGAGAAGGGTGAGAATAGAGATAGAAGAGATGAAATAAAAATACACACAATCACGAACACACTCGGGGGAGCGCACGTAGTCTACAGGCGGTCGCTCAGGTTTGTTGTGTTTAAGTACTGTAGTAGCACTTTAGTAGTTTTCTGCGCTATCGAGAAACACGCCCAAGGGCCCAGAATCATTTGCACAGAGAATGGTCTACGAGTCCAGTTGGTTCAAAACCATCCGGAGCTGGCATCGCTGGGTGTCGTGGCAAGCGCAACTGCACTGGACGTGTTCGATGGTCTCTTCAGCTCCGCAAGAATCACATGTAGAGGTGTCTGCTATACCGACGCGATAAGAGTACGCCTTTGTGAATGCAACGCCCAACCAAAGGCGGCATAACAGTGTTGCATCAGAGCGGTAACGTTGCGATGGTAGCTGTAGCTTGAGCGAAATATACAGTTCATATAAGTGAGACCTTTGGAAGCTGGTAGACGACCAAAACGTGCGTGTAAGACCTCGAAACATCAAGTAGAGTTGTCTTGCCGCATCAGTCCTTGATAGAGGAATCAGGACCACACTCGTTCCTTTATGGGCTGAGCGGACTACATCATCGGCTGATTGATTTCTAGTAATACCGATATGCCCAAACAGCCACTGATATATAATACCATGCCCTCGTACTAGAGCTTGATAGTAGCAATGTCTCAATTGTTCATGATTACTCTTACGCATGGAAAACTGCAAATTCTGAAGTGCTGCCTTCGAATCACAGAATATGACCTACTTTCCTAGGTGCTCTTGAACAAGATATTGTAAGGAAGCTCTTATATCAGAAAGTTCTGTTACTGTAGACGCAGTTTTCATTGTCAACTTAAGTTAAACTTAAAGTGAATTAAACTTAAATTAAACTTAAATTTCATTGTGAATGCTGCACCCACAATTACAGCGGCACCTTTTCAGCTGCTGGACGAGGCCAACCCATCAGTATATATCTGCATTTGGTCCAGGTACGACGCATGTATTAATAGCAGTGTAATGCATTCTGGTAGCGTCATATGCATGATTGATGTACGCGAGAAGTCGGTTTTTTACACAGATGTTTTCGTTGAGCAGATGTTCGCTTTCAGTTTTTTGGAACGTGACGAACCCGGATAACAAGGTAAGAAGCGTTGCCTCTAAAGAAAAAAAAAAAGGAACAATAAAACTTTGATTGGATAGATATGTGGGGTTTAACGTCCCAAAACCACCACTTCATTATGAGAGACACCATAGTGGAGGGCTCCAGAAATTTCGACCACCTGGGGTTCTTTAACGTGCACCCAAATCTGAGCACACGGGCCTACATTATTTCCGCCTCCATCAGAAATGGAGCCGCCACAGCTGGGATTCGATCCCGCGACCTGTGGGTCAGCAGCCGAGTACGTTAGTCCCTAGACCACCACGGCGGGGCAACAATAAAACTTTGACAGACTTCTGATGCAAACAGACAGTTCAGTTTGAGTCGGTTTTGTAGAACTTACCAGAGTTAAAACAAGTAGCCTCTCATGAAGTCGGGTCAACACGATCACTACAGCGATGGCATGTGTGCGCTGCAGCGACGACAGCGGGAAGTGAATCGATAACGAGACAACTATCGTCTTCATGGCGAAGCGTCGATTGGAAGTAATGTGACGAAATAATGCTGCCTCTTCAAATTTTGGTTGGTCGTTTATAGAGTGTTACTACGCTGCATGCGCGCACATTTCGCAATCCGTGAAAATACTGATTACAGCCCTACGTTATAGTGGCGTGGTTATTCGAGAGTTTAAGTCTTCGCCCTGTGTCTATCAGTCGAAAGGCATATACTTGACTGCCGCAACGAAGATAGCCCCTGAGAAACCGCTTTCTGAACAGCGGCGTCTAGCAGAGAGCACCCGCGTGCTCGTTCTGTCGCGGTCGTCAAGTTGACTTCGATACACAGCCCCACGGCTATCGCTCGGTTTACGCCTTTCAGCACTTGGACCAAACTGCAAGGGCGCCGTTGGAGCAACTTTTGTCGCGCCATGCACTCGTTGCGCGGTTGTCAGTAGTACGGATTTAAGATGTCGGGAATTTCCAATTTCTTACTTGCGTGTTCGTGCTGTTGCGTTGTTGCGAGATGGTCCAATAGCACCCCACTGCGGCAGTTTTCTCTTGTGCTCAGCTACCTATGAAATATTTAGTTGTTTATATCACGAGCCCTTAAAGTTCCTCTGTGCGTGTGTGGGTGGGTAAAAAGGATGCTGTGATGAAACGTCAGTTAGCGCGCGTAGAGATTCTTAAAGGAAAAAAAGGAAGAAATATATAAGCGCGGTGCTGTTACTGCCTCTCTCATATGAAGGCACCTCCACAGCGCCGCGCAGGGAATAGGAGAATGGGAATTGAAGAGACAGAAGGGAAAAGGCAAGAGAAGAGAAGTAGTAAAAATCGCTCCGCCTCACATAGCACGCGCCCGAACCACCGCAAAGATCCGCAACCATCCAGAAAAGCCACCGGAAGGCCGGGGAAATGTATCCACTGAAAACAAGATGATGAGCCTAAGAGGCGCATGAAATGACGGGAGCGCGCGAAACACTCGCTTGAGCACGTAGCCCAAGTATGGGGAAGAAAAACAAAAACATTTCAGTTCAACTAGAAAAAAAACTGTTCATTTGAACTCACAGATCAGAGTCCTATTGGCCTCGATGATGTAATCCAGTTGTGGAGTGGTCACAACACTAGCCTGTGCACGTAGGCCAAGCACGTAGGCCAAGCACGTAGCCCAAGCCCGCACACACGCACACACGCACGCACGCACGCACGCACGCACGCACGCACGCACGCACACACACACACACACACACACACACACACACACACACACACACACACACACACACACACACACACACACACACACACACACACACACACACACACACACACACACACACACACACAGACACACACACACACACACACACACACACGAACGCACGCAAATTTAATTGCGTGTACGGCAAAAATTAAGAGATAAACCGAACACAACGGAACAGTGCTTTATAACTGTCACGCTGCAATCACAAGTATTGCTTAGGTACATTCCACTATGAAGGACTGTATCAAATTAATATAAATAATAATAATAAATAATGTTGGGGTTGAATGTCCAAAAACCACGACGTGATAATGAGAAACGCTGTAGTGTAGGGCTTCGGAAATATCTACTACCTGGGATTCTTAAACGTGCCCCTAAAGCTAAGCAAACGGGCCTTAAGCAGTTTAGCGTCCATCACAAACTCGGCCACCTTGGCCGCCCGGGAGTCGATATCGCAGCGTTCGTGTCAACAGGGGCTTGTCACTTTAGCAAACACACTATAATGATGAGGCTACAGTTATATGCTTTTGGAGGCCGAAGTTACTGCGACGGAACATACTGTTTTTCACTTCTTTTTTTTGTAGGCTTGAGTGGTATATATTTCCGTGCCCCATCACTGTATTCGGTTGTGGAAGTGATGGGTCCTCTCACTATAGTCAGTTTCATAATTTTTACCATGCAGCGTCTAATGAACGATTTATATGAACGCCATATGTGCATGTATATTGAGGGCTTACAATTAGAGGCATCGATTCTTTGTACACAGGGGACGCTCCCGTGAAGCCGGTGTGAAACAGCACCACCTGTTTCTAAAGGTATACTGTAGGAAAGTTCCCAGTGTCGGCAGTGTGAGGTCTGGTGAACATGTGGATTAACCGTAGTACTTCTACAAGGGTCCCTTTTTTTTGGCTTTTTTGGCGATTTTAATGTTGTAATCATCTTATCAGCGAAATTACAAAGCAAAATAAAAAGAAACCCTGGTGAAAGTACCCTCATTCACTCTATAGAAGCTGAAAACTTCCATTTCCTTAATAGTCAGCAGCACGCGTTCCTGCCAAAGCAGTTTGAAGTAGGTGCAATCAGCTAACAAATAAGAAGTTCTCTTTTCGTTCGAGAAATGAAGAGTAATCGCTAATGAAAACTGGAGTGAAGTTTCCGTCTGCGCGTCAGCTGTAGCATCGATCGACTCGTAAGAAACTGTCGTAGCTACCGTTCCTTGAACGACCATTGCAAAAGGCACGGAATATTTTTTTCTTTGTTTTTATGAGTTGTGATAAGATTACTTCTTGTTATCTCGTAAGAACTGAAGAAAAAGTGTTCCCACTGAGCAGCGGGAACATTTCACCTTGCCGTTTCTCTTCGCAGCCTCATGACACAATGAGTGAAGCCAGGTAAGTGGCACCATAAAGTAAAAAAAAGAAAATAGGCAAAACACACATGCTATATCCACACGTAATTGCATCAATTTACTTTATTGTTACGCAGTTTCAAAAATAAAAGCAGATATGCAAAGATTACTGAATTTTGCTAGGCTGCCAGCGTCATAGCGTTGCTTTATTAGTTTGGTCTACACACGCTGCTATAAGGGAGAGATGACAACTTAGAAATTGTCTAATCCTTACGGCACTTTTAGGCACAACTCAGAAATGATCTTCTGGTTTCTTTTACTTCAGAACGTAGCGAAAAATGTTCTCCACCTCGAGTTCGGTGCAGCAACCCTCGTATAACAGAACAGAAATTAATAGCGACTGGCTGCAGTTAGCCAGAGCTTGCAACGAGATCATTGGTCAAACGTCCTTGGGTACGAACAAGCACTACCGTTCTACAAAAAAAAAAAGTAGGAACGTGGTACGTTTCTTTGTGTCCTCCATTTCTCAGTGTTTTCAAGTAGAGGACCCTCATGGCTAGCCAGGAGTATACTAAAATAGCCTATTCTACCGCAGATTCTTCGGGATGAAGCACAATTCGCGCAAAAGTAATATTCTGTTAACGCTGCAGCTATGGAGCATGTGTAAAGTTGATCATTGCATCCGTTAAGCTACGGTGGTAGTAATGAAGAGAATGAGTGCCCTTTCTGATGATTGTATAAAAAGGCTAAGATTGTACTATATCGATTTAACAGCTTACGAAAGATTGAGCCACCGTACGGAGGTACTAGAGACTGGGCGTGGCGTACACAGATGGAGTAGCACAGTTTATGGCGATTTCCGAAACGATTGAAAACTTGCCAAGTTGTATAGAAGCCCATGCAGAACAGAAAAACGAGAAATATTTTATGTTATATTTATTAAAAAAATGAAAACGCACGCAAAGCTGCTTCACAGCTGATAAAATGCTGAAAAAAAAACGATGCTAACAGCAAACACACAGTACATTATACATTGACTCACAGAAATACAAGCTATACACCATTTAGATGTCTACACAAACTGAGTTACAGCCCTCGCAACGAATTTGAGCGTACGGTGTAATTGTTCGTTCCCGTAGTGCTTGGTATTTTCGTATGTTTGGCCTGCGTAAGGTCACCGCACGTCGCACGGCTTAGCCACCAAGACACGATATCGGTGTAGCTACTATTTATCCCTTCATCTTGCAACGCACTACACAAGGCGTCCAGATTGTTCGATGGTACATTGACCCGATAGTGACTTCGCATCAAAAAGAAAGGGCTGTATAATTTAAGCAAGCTTCGAACCTTGGAGAGAACGCTGACAATGCCTTGCGCATTCTTTATTCTTGTAGTATCAAGAAACGAATGCGGCGGCAGTGACGTTCCTAAAGAGTTCGCACCAAAATATACCGGTACGATGGTGTAGTTCAGTGCGTCGTAAATAATTTCGGCGGGATGCTGGAAGCAGGGAGACGACTCCATTACGAAGATGAAAAAGTGAGTCTCTTGAAAGAGGCTCAGGCATTCGTCACGGGAACTGCAATATTCAGAGCCGCACTTGGGGATAAGGTCGATGTAGACCTCGTCCGAGATTTCTTTGACAAAGCGTTCGGTACCACGCCAGTGACTGTTCATGGGGCCTCTAGGATGCTCGAATTCCTCTTGCTCACACTCGCTTATCAACCAAACGGCGTTTAGTGTCTTATTGGTGTAGATACTGGGCAGATCATGCAGGGTATCCGCGTCTGGTTCAGCTAATATTGTCCAGGTTCTGTAAGGGAGTACGATGTCAGCATCCTGCCTGAAGCCCATGGTCCAGTTGAATGGTGGAGCCGTGCGTGGCAGGTATCGCGCAAGCGCTCCGTCGGGAGAATCAGTCGCCCAGAAGATCCAGGCTTGTCCTTGGTGCCGGTAAGTCGGGAAGTCGGCTGTTCGAAGACTGTTGCCATCGAATACAATTACGTCACTGTGGTACACCCGTGCGTGGTCCTCGGTGACTTCGCAATCCTTGTCGAGGTGGCCGAGATGGTACTTACTGTTGTTTAACGTCCCCGTGCCGCGTCGATGAAGCGAAGGCGACCAGAGCAGGATTCGTGGGGGAGAAGGCTTGCCGCATTCCTCGCGCTCCTGCCAATGCACCCAGTGATTATTGGATACCCGCCAGGTTAACAGGATGACTAACCAGACTAAGCCCGCAAGGATCCCACATATGAAGTGAAGGAGCCGGTGACGTTCTGTCCAGGCATTGATCGCATCCTGGCTATCTTGTAGCTTTTTAAGCAGCCGAAACATGCCGTGCCGAAAACTGAAAAGAGAAGTACATATTCGGTACTCGGTGGGACGATATGGTTAGAAAGTAACAGTCCCACGTCAATGCATTGAACTTGAATACCTTAAATGTGTGCTTAAAAAGCGAGAAACAGACGCGCACAAAAAAGCGCACATAATGCGCACGAAAAGGCGTTGCGTGTGTGTATTTACAATCAACAAGAAAAGTTTACGGACGACGCGAGCATTTCCGCCGACATTCCCGCTATACGTCAGCGGCGCTCGACAGCACCACAACGGCCGAGACGCATACCTCCCTTAATCTATGGCCAGTCTGTTTTATGACTGGGTGAAAAAAATGTGAACCTTTAACTTTTTAACGCGATCCCCATCGCTGTGGTCTAGTGGCTAAGGTACTCGGCTGCTGACCCATAGCTCGTTAGATCGAATCCTGTCGGCGGCGGCGGATGCATTTTCAATGGAGGCGAAAATGCTTTAGGCTTGTGTGCTCAGTGGGTGCATGTTGAAAAACCCCAGGTGGTCGAAATTTCCAGAGGCCTCCACTACGGTCTATCATAATGATATGGTGGTTTCAGGGCGTTAAAATCAATGGCGTTTTGACCCGAAGGGCTTTTTGGCATCTGCGTCGACGTGCTTGTACCCCGAGAGCATTCTATACGAGCGCAACTGCTATCACTCGCACACTTATTGAGAAACTACAGTCAGTGGAATGCCGTTCGAGGCGCGTCCTGACAGCTTTGACCCTGTTAACAAAATAGGTGTGTGACTGTCACACTGTAGATAAGCATTTCGCCTCTAAACTGCGAGCTAACACTGTGCTGCGTGGCAGTACAAAATTGCAAGACAGTGAATAGAAAAAAGACCCATTTCCGGCCTAGCATTGCGGTCGATGGTTGAAGGCACACCACGGACAGCATTTGGCGCGCGCTGGTGTAGTACGTAAACATTTGTGGTTGACTGCACCTTTTGATCTGTTCATCGTGCGTTTTGTAAACGTAGCTCCTATACTTAGATGCTACAAACGTGCTCAAACGTGCTCCCCCTGAACAGAGTTCGCTGGGCTCGCTCTGCATACTGCTTAGTGTGCGCAAGCGAAAATAACAAAACACGCAAAAAGCGCAGGACCTAACAGCGCCAGTACACTTTGTTGGGGTTTCACGTCCCAAAGCGACGATATGATCTTGAACACCGTAGTGGAAAGCTCCAGACATTCTGACCACCTTGGGTTCTTTAACGTGTGCTGACATCGCACAGCCTCCAGCGTAAGGAGCCAGTAGAAGTATACGGAAGTATACGAAAAAAGGGGTGCTCCGTCAGTAATAGACGCTAGCCTGACGAAGCTAAGTGAGGATTACAGGGATTACAAGACGTGTACAAGGCAGGGTGACGCACACACGGCTCTGACTTACAACCCTTGTTGTCTCCGTCTTTCACGCTGTGTGCACGTCGTCCTTCCAACCAACATCAACGCATTAAAGCTTCTAAACTAAGTTGCGAGTATAAGGGTGGCTTGAAAACCTGGCACCACGAAAAGTTATCGGGGAAACTGGTAAAGCTTTAGAACGCTTGTGGCAGCTGTGTCGAATTTACCGAGAAGTAAAATGGCCTTACCTTACAGGACACGTTTGAAAATTCCTTTGGTGGGTGTACAAATGAATCGATACTGGCACTCCTGATAAAATCAAACAGAGCAGCGATACACAACCTGCTCTTCAATTGGCCTGTGAGCGTGGCTGCTGATTGGTCTCCTATTAGATATCAGACACGTTCAGTTGCGCGTAAGTAGAGCCTACCCACGCAACATACGGGAAAGAAGTGCGCATGCGCAGTACGTAACGTATCTATTCCACATATGCAAGTGTACGCCCGAAAGAAAAAAAAATACACGTGCACGTAAACGTAACGATAACCTCTATTGAAAGAGCAGCCATATTGCAAGAGGGTGCATAACGTAAACCTTGGATACACCCGATTCGGTATGACTTGGATGACCGTGGCCGTTATCACAGCCGCTACCACACAATGGCACTCAGAAGCATTCAAAAGCTCTTTCATTTTCCATACGATACGTCCATAGTTGAAGGAAACGCATCCCGGTACGGTTGATACGGTAAACTGAATGTGTTGATAATTAATAGGGAGTTTTAGAATAGCGCACTGTAAGCCCTTGCGGTGCGGTCGCTGCCACTGCGCATGCGTCGTAACGCGAGTCGGCGTTCGTGTTCCCGGAGCGCACGCAGAAAATCCGTAATTGCGTGCGGCGATCGCGGCCCGCATGTCGCGCGCAAGCGCTGGTTTCGAGGCTACGGTGTCACTGCGACCATGCGTTGCGGTTTGCAGCAGGGCCGCCGCTATTCTAAAACTCATATGGCACCCGCTACTCCAGCAATGCCCGCAATGCCCGCAGCGCTTGCAAACGGTATTCCAAAACTCCCTAATGCTTCGTTTGCAGCGTACGCAACACGTCGTGCTGCGTACGCTGGATTGTTGCGTACCCCTACCTGAAGGTGTCTGGTATATTCGCGCGCAGAGACAACTTACGATCGCGGAAACTTAGTATCGTGTTACCACAGTGAGCCGTTTGCCCCTTAGCCGCATTTTGTAACATTTTGTTTTTCCTTTCCAGGCTTTTTTTAACTTCTTATCATCTGTCGCCGAAAAAGGCGAATTCAAAAGTTAAGGGGTCATGATCGGCTTCGTATGTGGCATTGACAAAGGCAAAATTGGAAAGAAAATCAATAATTGTAAACGGCAACATTTGTACAAAAAATGAAAACGTTTCAAAAATGAGTGTGCATAATATTGTGGTGTTTTATTGTGGTCAAAATTTTAGCCACTCATCGTTGGGTTCAGTTATCCTACTAAATGCAGATATGAAGTTTTTTTGATATCATCAAAATTTAAAATTAAATAGATACATAAATCCGAGCATATTTGCTGTTTGACGCGGCAAGATATAAATAAGCCACTTTCGTTTCGAAAAACAGCAGCCCAGTTCATACGAATCAGATGCGGGAATCAGATGCGGGCCACGGGCATCCAATCCATTGCGAATCGTTGTATCCAAGGTTTTACGTTCAGCACCGTCGTACAATCTGACTGCTCTTTCAATACAGGTCTCGAGAGAGTGTCACGCATACTAGCTATGCGTATCGTTACGTTTACGTGCGCGTGTTTTTTTTAGGAGCGAAGCTCCTTACAGCGGCACCCGTTCGTACCTCGTAGTCGTAGTAGTAGTGTGTAACCAGTCTTACATTTTGACCTCCAAGGTGGCGCCGGTGGGAGATTTCTTCTGTGCGTTGTTGAACAATAAAATATTCGCAGCGTGCGCGTTAACTAAAAGCCGAATTCTCCTGTCTCTCCTTCCCTCTTAGCAGCCATTGGCATGTACACTGAGCTCTATCTCACAAGAAAGGGTTGCTATGTTATACTGGCTGGGCGTAACCTCCTTGGTTTTAGAAAATTTTAGCGAGCGTTGGGCCGCAGTGCCGTGAATACAGTGAAATAGTATATACCATGAACTCGAGGTGGTTAAAGGTGGGAAGACACGAAGCGCAAGCCGTAAGAAAGTGTGCGTGTGCCTCCTCTCATTCAGTCCTTGGAATGTCCGTTGAATAGCGGTGCTTCTATATGAAGAATATATGATGAAAAGATGTGAGATGGTGGTACTTGGAGTGTTGAATAGGTGGGCGAACGGACACACAGACAGATGCATGGACGGACGCATGGATGGCTGCACGGGCGGATGGGTGCATTGACGGACTCAGGAGTGGATGCATGGACGAGCGCAGGGACGGACGCACAGATGGGCGTGCGGACGGGCGGATGGACGCATGGGTGGCCACACAGACGCACGCAAGGACGGACGAAAGCAAGAACGAATGGACGGACGGATGCTTCGCCCCACTCTCTATCATTCACTCCGTGGATATGCTGCCATTTTTCTTCTTCAAAGCTGTCATGATGTTGAGCATGCACCGACGCATGGGCCTACCATGCGACGTCCTCTTCGCTTACCACTCGAGCATCAGATACAATGAGCATCGGGTTCGTGAAAGTACTTTTTTTTTTGGGCTTACGCACGCATCCGTGGAATAGATACGTTACGTACTGCGCATTCGCACTTCCATGCTGCGTACGTAGGCTCGTTAATTACGCGCAATTGAAAGTACACGTAAGGTATGCACTGCTCCTATTGGAATAAAATAAATCAATTATGTCTTGCCATTTCATGTTGATGGCCACTCTTTTCAATTGGGCAATAAAAAGAAAGTGAAATTTAGGAAAAAAATGTAGTCTGGCCTTCTCGAAAATTCTCATTTTAAAACACTCTTCTAAAGACTGGTAGGTGCAAGCCCACATGCGATGTAATCCAGTCGGTATTCATTACAAGTAATACTGCATTTAAAAAAAACGCACTATTGCTTTTGCCGTGCCGCCCCGCCATACTCGGCCGCTGACCCGCAGGTCGCGGATTTGAATCCCGGCTGCGGCGACTGCATTTTCGATGCAGGCGAAATGCTCTAGGCTCGTGTGCTCAGATTTGGGTGCACGTTAAAGAACCCCAGGTGGTCGAAATTTCCGGAGCCCTCCACTACGGCGTCTCTCATAATCATATGGTGGTTTTGGGACGTTAAACCCCATATATCAATCAATCAGATTTGGGTGCACGGTAAAGAACCCCAGGTAGTCGACCTTTCCGGAGCCCTCCACTACAGCGTCTCTCACAACCATATGGTGGTTTTGGGACGTTAAACCCCACATATCTAATCAGGGCTTTCGTCGTGTTACGGCAGGCCTCTGCTCACCATTGATCTAGTATGTTTGTGAGTGAACACAGAATATCACTCCCGTTTTAGTCACTGTATGTGGGTGGTGCACTTTACAGCATCGAACAGGTGATAAAAACCTCCATCGACATGCCCACTCGAACGTGCAGTAGATGATGCGCACTAAATTCTGAATAAAATGTGCCATGTGTAAGTAGTTCAGAGTCGTGATCTGTGTATGAGGGCGTTGTGTATGTATGAGGGTGTTGATGTGCCAAAGGAGCAGAAGGCCTGGTTGTTATCAGGCTGACTTTATGAACGCGCTTTTCTGTAACAGCATGAGGGCCCTTTTCCTTTCATCAGAACTGTAATGATAACGCGCTTTGATAATGTAAACGTAGAGGGTAATCGTATTTCCTTCGCGCATCTCAAGCATTCAGTGCTAACAAGAAGTGTGCTGTTTCAACAATAAAAAAAAAATCACAGGGTTCTTTATTCCTTTACTTAAGACGACTCGAAAGCGTCAGTAATTTTTCTTTTCTTCTCAGTCGATGTATTCATCCTTCCCCAGTACCCTTCAAAACATTTCTGGCTCTAATGTGATTTTTGCACTGGCTCCAAGATTGGAGGTACCTCACCTGATTTTCCATTGCTTTCGTGATTAGAACCCATTTGGTTAAGTTACAATGCCATGTATTCACGTCATCAAAGCACATGACGTCGCCTGACGTCACAGTGGGGTGATGATGACGCCGCAAATTTTAGTGATCTGTGTCATGTGGTTACGTCACCACGCGATAGTTATTTGCATAACATGTCACTGACACCACAAAAGGCCGATGCCGATGGTCAACTCTTGCGTTAGATGAGTAATAGAAGACCATGTGAAGCCTTAATAAATCATCACATGTTTTTTTTTATTTCAGGAGTACTTTTTTTTGCTAATGTTTGTCCCTCTTCCACTAGTGGCAGACACTCATGAATGAGTATGTGACACTGGTAAGCGGGTATGTGTCACAGGTGATTAACACTTAGTATCTACCCAGGAACGACGAGAACACACATGGGCAATTTTAACGCGTGAGCGTTAAGGAATACTCGACATCGGTAGCGTCGACCCAACGAAGGCATAGAATAAATGCCAGTGTTAAGAAAAACGTGACATAGGCAGCGTTGGTCGCCACGAATGCAAATAATAAATTTCAGGGTCCCAGCAAGAATCTAACCCAAGCATTCTGCGTGGCAGTCAAGCATTCTACCACAGAGCTACGCGAGTTCTCGGAAGTATACTTTCCAAGTAGACGCTAACCTTCGTGAAACGTCAATAGTGGTTTCAGTGCTGCTTACCCAATTTTATAAACGTTACATATGTACTCCTTTCATACAGCCGTCACGTTGGGTTAACGTCAATTGTGGTTAGGTTCCATGTGCTGAAATCGATTTAAGTAGCAGGGTGAAGGGCCAGCATCTTCGCGAGCATCAGCGCGCGAAGATGCTTCATATCAGCTTCGGGTGTTGCTAAAACACATTTCCAGCTGACCTCATTGTCCAAGTGGAAAACTGGGTATATAAACATCTGCAAGTCTTTAACATATCTCGGCGTGCAACATTTGTACATATATTTATCGTCATTTCATGACGTGTCGCTCAAAAAAAAAATTGCAACACGGTCACCTTCCCTTCGCGTTCATCGCATCAAGTTGATTCCCAGGTATGTGGTATCTGCCGAATTTTTTCGTAGAATTTTTCGTAGCCTTGTGCTGCAAAAGATAACTGTCTGAGCGAGAAACAGCGTCCTAGACGGGACGAAAAGATAGGTGAGACACACACACAGCACTGAGTCAAGTTTGTACCGAAAGAGACAGAAACAACGGAAAATGTCGTCGTATATTAGAAAAACAGAAATAGCCTTTGCGGTGGAAC